GCTTTCCTTTGAAGATGTTTACCTCTATGGAACATGATAATAAATCAGTTGCCAAGAAATTATGACTTGAGGACTGATGAGTACGGGGGTAACAAGTGTATAAATTAGCAAAGGTGTTATAGTGGCATCTGGTTGTAAACCCAGCACACTACACTGTGCTGTTAAGATCCTGCGTGAAGATACTTTGAATTCCTTGCAGCTTTGAGACCCAGCCACACAGTTCTTGGCTGCATTTTTCTAATATTGTTTCAGTGTTTTAGTGACCTATAGTAAAGATGCTGGATTGTCAACTCCTAACATGTTGAACATTTTTTGCACATTAAAAAACTGAGATGGAGCAATGCCAGTATGTTGGGAATTTATGAAGCATCAGATGATGATGTCTACATACATTTATAGCCTTGGTGCATGAGGTGTTATGACTAGGGATGGGCATGAACCGGGAAAATGCAGTTCAGTTTATGGCCGAACCCCGAATTAGGGGGCTTGTTTACAAACCAAACCAGTTTGTGCAGCTGATAGACCTGCAAACCCCATTGAAAGGGAATGCAGTCCCTTTGACCAGGGTTTGCAGAAAGCCCCCAAAACAGCTGTTTCAGGCTGTCTTGAGCAGTCCCTTTAAAGTTTGAAGGGACTACGAAACAGCATGAAAAACAGCTACGTGGCGGGGAGGTGCTCCTTGCCGCAGAGCTGCTTTGTGCTGTCTTCTGCAGTCACTTTAAACTTTAACGGGAGTGCAGAAGACAGCTTGAAAAACAGCAGCCAGCAGAAAGGGGTGGGGAATCTCCCAGAAAGGGTCTTTGAGATGAGCCATCCCGGACCAGAGACATTTCATCTCCTGTCAGCTATCCCCCAAGATTTAGTTTAAAAACTGCTCTGCTGCCACCTTTTTTATTTTAAGCGCCAGCAGCATGGTTCCTTCTTGGGACACGTGGAGGCTGTCTGTTTTGTACTGGTCTTTCTTGTTCTAAAAAGCATCCTAGTGGCCAAAAAATTTAAAACTTTTCCTCCCTACACCATCATATTATCCATGCACTGAGACTCCTAATTTGTGCCTGTCTAGCTGGCCCTGCACGTGGAACAGGCAGCACTTCTGAGAAGGTTACCTTGGAGGTCCTGGCCTTGAGTCTCCTGCCTAGCAGCCTAAATTTTTCCTCCAGGACTACAGAACTACATTTCCCCACATTGTTGGTACCAATATGTACCATGACCACTGGCTCCTCCCCAGCACTGTCTACCAGCCTATCTAGACTACATGTAATGTTTGCTACCTTTGCACCAGGCAGCAAGTTACCATGCGGTCAGTACAGGGGTTCACCACCCATCTGTCTACCCGCTTAAGGATCAAATCACCAGCTGCTAAGAGCCCTCCCTGCCCAGGGATGGTTCCTTGGTGTGAAAGGATACCTGTTCACCAACTGTAGACAGGATCCCTTCTGAGGGAACATTCCCCCTGACCCTCATACTCCCTGACAGCTGTTGGGCTGCCATTCTCGAAGTGGGACACATCTAACAAGTCCCTGAGAGTCTTATCCGTGTGCCTGACTGACTGTCTCTGCTTCTGCAGGCCAGCCACCTTGACCTTATTTATTTATTTATTAGATTTATATCCCGCCCTTCCACATGGGCTCAGGGTGGCTAACATAAGAGGCAAATCCCATACATAAAACGATTTAAAACCAGTAAATAATCGTTACAATTAAAATATCGGTGCTCAGCAGTAAACTTTGACAGCTCCAAGATGGGGATTGCGATGATTCGCTCCGGGGAACGCTGATGTCTCTTCTAGTTAGTACTTCCCTTGGTCAGTTCTTCCATCCCAGGGCCAGCGCACCTTGTAGAAAATTCCACCAACAAGGATGACAACATGGTTTTCCGGTTTTGGCGCTTTAAACGATGGCGGCGTCTCTTGGTTCCTCCGAGAGACGTGTGCCATGAATCGGGGATTAGGAGGGAGCGTAATTGTGCACGCTCCCCCATGGAGCCCATAGACAATGGGCTTCTAGCCAGGGGGCTTTGGAGAGCCCTACCTCCGGCCGGCAGCCGGTAAAGGGGGGCTACTCTCTGCCCTGAAGGTCCTGCGCTGATTCCCAGTACTGGATTAGAAGCGACCACCAGGACAAGCATTTGGAGGTTTAGCAATTTTCTCTGCCTGGCGTGATCCCAGGGGGCATCTTAGGACCTGGTGGATCGATTCAAGGATTGATGAGTGAGTTGCCATTGAAACGAGACACTAAAGCCTAGAAGTGAAGTCCCTCTACTATAAGCATATAAACGGAGGGGGGGACGCCCTATCTCCCAACGTTTTAAGCAAATGCGAAAGCAAGGATGGAGGGACTGATCAAATTGTGGTGATGGACTGTAGCCGAGCGTTTAAATGGACCTTAGACCTTGGCATTCTTTCTCGGCTGATGTAAACATCCCCAAAAGATGGCGACGAGAGGCTAAGAGGGAGGCGGGATCAATGCTTTCTTCAGGAAGGAGAACAGTGGAAAGTTAGGTCACGTGACTTAACCATAGACTCTGTCTTTAAAGTGAACCGTGGGCCCTCTGGTGGCTAAAGTGAGAAGTGACCTGGATCTGTACTAAAAGCAGCTACACTTTTAAAGGGACAGTACGTTGATCATAGAGACATATGAAGGAGACTCTAAAGTTTAGTTCTTTGTGGCTGGATTGGCAAGCTGACCGAAAAGCGGTTTTCTGGAGTAAAAGGCTCGCTACCCCAACTTTATAAGATCTGCTTGCTAAGAGAAAGGTTGGAATCTCCAATGAGCGTGTTGTTAATGCAACAAAAGGAGAGACTCTTTTGATCTAAGACGTTTAAGGAAGCGAAGATGTCCCTGGAAAAAAGGAACTTGGTTTATATCATGAATGGACAGATCGGGATTTATAAAAACTAAAAGATAATTGAAGAAAGAAGATACATTGAAAACGGAAGAAGAAAAACGTGTTGTAATGTTCTTACTGAGGGAACATTGGTTTTAAAGATCTTGCCTATGGGGGGGGAGTAAAGTGTGGAGATGCTAATTTTTTCTTAAGGGCTGTGATTATGCGTGTTATAGCTTTGGAATTACTCTCTGTTCAGTCAGTACTTTCTCCTATAAATTTTAGATTCCCCCCCCCCCCCAATTTCTGTTGTAGTTTTATAGAAATATAGAAATACAAATAAAAAATTCCCCTTCGGTTTTAACCCTTGTCCTTTGTTGGACCCTCTGTTTAACCCTTCTTGTACTGCAGTAAAACTAGCCAAGATCCTCTGAGTTTGTTTAGAATTAAAATTAGCTACACCTGAATAGTTTGAGCAGCTACAAGCAAACTAAGATTAGAACTAGACCAGAAAATTGGCACAGAACTAACATTAGAATTAAAATTAGCTTGAGTGGTTTGAACAGCTACAACACTAAGAAGTTACACAATGTTGGTACCTAAAGGGTTTTTTAATCTATTTGCCCTCCTTACTATTAGAACAGAACTAGACTTAGAACTAAAATTAGCTACACCTGAGTAGTTTGAGCAGCTACAACATTGAGAAGTTACACAATGTTGGTACCTAAAAGTATTTTTCAACTATTGCTCTCCTTATTTTAACCCTTTTCACTTAGCCTATCTTGATAGAATTTAATATTAAAACATTTATTTTTTATTTTTTATATATTTTTAAAGCCACTTACCCTCTCCTTTACCGTCTACTAAACTCACCTGTTTATTCCCTCATTTCAGACACTTTGTCACTGGAGAGGGCCTGCTGCCACACAGAGCACACATATTGTCTACTTTGTACAGGCTTTCCTAGTAGAGAAAGAATATCCTAAATAAGTTCCAGTAGTCTTTTGCACATTGTTTTCCTACTAGCAGGCCAAATGTTGCCCTTCAAGGTCACACAATTACAGATTCATACCCTCTTTGTATTTCTGGTTGTCATTTAAGGGCTAAGTAAAGCATTAGTGAGGCTTAAGTCTTGTCTTGTTCAGCCATAGGTATTAGTGTGCACCGTACTAATATTATAGGTATGCTCTTGAAATAGTGCAGATTTCACCACAGATGTTTTGACTATTGAACTTGCTATGTGTGAAGGTGTCGGTCAGACGAGAGCTGATCTCCCAGCCTGCCTGTTTGTCTTGTGCCACAGAGCTGCAGGTGCCTGCTGAGCAGGTTTGCATCAGGTTTTTGCACAACTGCACATGCGTAAAGATGCTTCTGATTCAAACCAAATGGCTGCCGTTAGCGTCACTAAGGACTACTTAGATGAACACTGAATGGTGGGAGTCTATCAAACACAGTATTGATTTATGACTGATTTAATTGTTTAAATGGTTGCTTGCCGAGTAGAGCTGTTCCACAGCAAGGACGGGGCAAAATAGAACTCAGTCAGGCTGTGTAAGAGTATGCATGCATGAAAAGCCAAACATACTGTGAAGCAGTGTACCAAACAGTCATGAACATGTTGACAATCAGTTGAACTGATCACTGAAAAATCAGCTCCTTCTTTGCAACTGGCAAACACGACTTGAGGACTGATGCATTAGCATTCCTATTCTTGAGTCCACGCCAATGAAACAGAAGCAAAATAGCTGTGATCTGAGGAGACTTGTGCACTTCACTGGTGGTCTTTTGTAGGGTGGTTGGTATTTCTCTGGTTTTTATGTACCTTCCTGCCACTGGTGTAACTTGCAGGAGCATACACCAGTATTTCAGAGACAAATGTGAAGAACAAGCCAAAGTGGCCCTTGATTTGGATTTTTAAACTCTAGCCTGCATAGTTATTTCTTATTACTCCAGTGAGTGTGTGAGAAGCATAATTAAATGTTGGCAACTGCCTTCTGCGGTGCTGTGCAATAAGTATTGTTCTAAATACAAAAAGGGTATTACTATAAAGGTGGTCTAGATCAAAATCTTATAGCAAAATAGAATGAAACAATTTCTTTTAGTTATCAAGAAAAAATCGAAATAGAGCTCCATATGGAAGAGAACTAACAAGTGGTATTAATTTCCTTCCCTAGCCGCGAGCTGATCCCATTCCAATATGTAGTTTCTGTCTGGGGACAAAGGAATCAAACCGTGAGAAAAAACCAGAAGAACTCCTCTCCTGTGCCGACTGTGGTAGTAGCGGTAAGTCTGGCAGTTTTGTCAAGCTAGACTCGTTTGTTACGTTTCTTTTCAGGCTAATGGTTGTTGGTTGGGAGGTTTTGTTACAGCTTTGGAATTTTTGAATCTCGAATTTGAAACTTCTGCCAAGAATGAGGTGCATATTCATTGTTTGTGCCCTAGTCCTGAAATATTATCCATCCGTTCTTGTCTGATTAATGATGTGATCTTTATGGGTGAGGGTGGGAGATAAACTAGCTACACTAAAATTAAATAAGTGGAAGGTGACACCTGGTCTGCTTTGAAAAGAGGTGAGAAACTTTGGTTTTATTGTGTAATGGTTACACTCCACGATGAGTCAGTGCTGCCACCATCGATAGAAGACTCCGTGCCAGAGCCCTGACCCGGATAGGCCAGGTTAGCCCGATCCCATCAGATCTCGGAAGCGAAGCAGGGGTTAACCTTGGCTAGTATTTGGAAGGGTGACTTCCAAGGATCACCAGGGCTGGGACACAGAGGCAGACAAGGGCAAATCACCTCTGTCTTGCCTTAGGAAACAAGTCTTGATCACCACCTAGTGGTGCAGAACACTAAAAGAGCTAGAGCTTCTGGCTGCCAGGCAATCTTGGGATCTCCTGGCTATTCTACACACACTACCATACGACGGCAGCGATAATCATGATGATGATGATGATTTTGCATCAGAGGCAAGTGTTTCTGTAGGCGGAACACATTCACAGGATCTAGCCAATTGTGAGTGTGTGGAGGGGGGTCCCAGGCATTGCTCTAAAAGTATTCATTTTAGTCAGAAAGCCTTTTCTGTATGATAGTGGCCACCCAGAGTCCTTTTTAGAATATGCAAAGTCTTATACTGGAACACAGGTCTTCAGTCTTGAGCCTCCACATAGCACTTCCTTGAAAGTAACTATTGACTTCCTGGTGGGTAGATTGGGTGGTGCTTGTTGGGGTAGTACCACTACCCCCTATATATGGAAAGCCTGAACACCAGGCTCTGACGTCACCGCATGTAGTCATAACATTCCCTGAACTCTGCAGTTGCCAGCTACTTTCACAAGTGTTTTAAATTGCATTTTCTCGTGTACTCAACAAGATATTCTCTTGATTTTTTCACTGCAGTTTTCCAGACACTTCACACTAGCTTATAGTTTTACTGAGTTCAGTTTCTCTTGCATATTTGAGTGTATGTTTCATATAATATTGGAGAGTGGTGGATGTCTGTTGTATGATGGTATTGTCAAATAATACTAAGAGTTTAATAACTTCTGCTTTTCATTATTACCTTTTATTTAACATTGACACAGCATTTTTTTAAAATAAGTTTTATTGAATTTTCATAAGGTAGAGGGTAAATTTTCATGAAGAATAACATTCTAAGTAAACTTGTAGATTACAATGCTTTTGTGACATAGCTGTCATATTTTCAAGAAAAAACATTCATTTTTTCTTTTCATATAACTATAAGTTTGAACATACATTTTTAAACATGAGATAGTAATATGCACACACTCATACTTTGGTAAGACATTGTCACATACAGTAAACTTCAGTCATAATATCCAGTTACCAAAAAAGAACAGCTACACAGGATATTGGTGTACCATTACAAACGTTCAAGGGAACAAACAAATGTAATAGAGAGACAGTA